TTTTTTGGCTGTTTGTTGGTTTATTGGGGTTTTTTGGAGTTTGGTTGTTTGTTTTTTTTTTTAATTTCACCACAGTATGCAAACAATATAGTTCTGCAAAACAGACCCTGAGGATTTTCAGAGCACTGGACACCACTTTTAGGAAAATGCTAGCTTACAACAAACTTTGTTTCAATAAAGCAAAAGGCTGTCCTTCTTTGGACCATCATTGCTCTCACAGTGACATCTAGTTTCCCTGAGTTTTCATCCTTCCCTTGTCCATTTAATGCATGCCCCTAATCCTGGTGGTGGTGCTAATTTGCAGAATAAGTCATTTCAGCTGAGGAAAAACACAAGCAAGAGACTCCAAAAATAAATTTTTAAAAGCACGTTGTTTCTTCTAGAGCTTCAGTCGTTCCAGTGGCAACACTTCAGGTGACCTGCATTAGACAGCACTTGCTCAGAGCACTACAAAAGCAGCACTCATGGGTTTGCTGCCCTGTCATCATCTCCTTCAGCGAATTCAGACACCATCAGTGCCATATACCTAGCACAGCAACTGGTGGGTGAACCATAATGAAACTATGAACAGGAAAACTGTCACAAGTTGAAGGAAACACTTGCTTTTCAGTGGAGTGTTTCATCTCCATACGAGGGCTGAAGTTAAGGATGAGAGAAAATTAACTTGTCCCCTGGTCATTAAATGTAGCTTTTCATGCAGTTATTTACTGCATAAAAAGTTGATAATTCTGTTGCCAAGGGAAATAGGAATACTTGCCATGACAACTGCAGCAGAATGTGGCACATAATCCACTTCACACAGAGCATCTTCCAAAGCAACCGCTCCCATTCATACATCCTACAAAACTCTGTGTCCTTGAGAGCAATTCAGTGTGTGTTTTTCTGAGACAGTGATTAATCTGCACTTTACCGCGGCATATTTCCTTGTGTCTAATGTTATTCTTAATGGTTCTTACACACCCCTTTCAGGAATACATCTGAAAGCACTTTGCAAAGGTAATCTCTACAACAAACTTCTCTGTTTATTTTACAGATGAGCAATTCAGGCAAAAAAAAAAATCACGAATCCCTATAAAACAGCAGGATCAGGAATCACGTTTGCACTCACATCACTTGGGCCAGTAACAGGAACATGGCTCTCATTGCAAGAAGGTGAGATGAACTCTGCAGCCAAAATCTGCACCATCAGGGCAGAACAGCTGTTGGGAAAACTTTAGTGAGCCCAGTGCATCTGTATCTCTGCTCAAACAGAACAACATGCCACAGTGATCTCCTTGACCCCTGTTTTGGGGTGCACCTGAGTGGCTGCATGACTGCTGGACATCATAGGCAGTTTGGGCATGGATCCACTGCAGAGAAAGGATTGCGCTTCCTGTAGCATTTTGTTCCAGAAGATGCTTCTGAAAACATCTTTCCCCACTCACATAGAGGAGCTGTGCATGCTGCTACTGATCAGAGATCAGAGCTCTGCATGCTAAAATAAAGCAGACACTGTCTTTGCTGTGTTCATCCTGGTCAACCTGCAGCTCCAAGCACCCTGCAAACCTGAACTGCCCTTTGGCAGATGGACTTCCTCAGACCAAACCTCGTGCTGCTCCTTAACAGGCACAGCCAGTGGCACAGGGTGAGTAAAGGCCACCAGTTTGGGTGGCCAGGTTGCACTTACTTTATCCTAAGAACAGAAGCCCTGCCATGCCTGGTCCACTAGTGGAGCATGGACTTTTTAAAAATATTTGCCTTAAAGTAATTTCCGGAGAGAAAAAAAACCAACAAATTGTGATCAAGAGTTGTGAGTAACCTGGAACACCAAGAATGTGCTTGGAGTAAATATGTGACTGAGAAAACCATTACCAACTCAGATGATAACTATTCTGGCTATTTACCTCTTAACCTTGCCAGACATTCTAAAGTGCGTAAGTGACATCTCTCCTTTATCACAAGATTTAGCCTAGAGGAAAACTCTCTCTCTCTTTGAGTTACTGATGTTAACGATGTTTCTTTTGGCTTTGCATCTATTTCCCTAATTTAAAAACCAGCATTGACAACTTTTTTCCACTGTTTAATTTGAGTAGTCACAGTAATTAAATATGAATCTTCAAATATTGCTGCACATGTTGTAGATTTATCATCAGTGAAACAGTCTTCTGCCCGTTTTCATAATTATTCTTGTTCAGATCAAAATGGTTATCCACTGAAAGTCTGACAATTTTCTCCTTTTAGTTAAGTTCTCAGTTGTTTTCCCTTTTGGTAGTGCTGCACAGAAGTTATGATTTGTAATTAAATTAATTTTCATTTGCATGTGGAGTCAATTATTTCCTTTCCAATTTTTTTTTTTGCATTTTACTTTAAATTGTTTGTTAAGGTATGGACTCCAATACATACTGCAAGAATCAGTACATATTGTACATATCCTTGTACATTAAAGGATATATACATAAAGTACATATCCTTTAATGGCATCCTAGGAAGCACCGCTTATGTGCAGCCCTGAATGAGTAACAGGACCGTATAAATCACCTGGATATTAAGGTTGAATATAGTGGCCTTGATGGCCAAGAAAGTTTTGCCTGATTGGTGTCTTTAACTCTTCCTGCTTGTGTGGGTGGTAAATTTTGCAAAGAATTAACAGTAACTTCAAACTTTTGTTCAGATTGAAGGGTTGGGTTTTTTCCATCGCCATGCAGAGCTCTTTTACATAATGGCTGCCCACTAGCTCCTTGTATTTTCTTCAACTTGTATTCCCTGGACAGACCAGCTTTACACTAAAGAGGAAAGAAGTACTTTTGGGCACCCATAAACCCTGGTAGGAGCAGCCTGTGTGATTTCCATGCCTCAGAAAGTGCTGGGTGAAGTGCTCTCCATCCCAACTCCCCAGGCAGGTGGCTGACTAAATGTTACCTGTCCATCAGTCATGCTGTTACACAAGCTGTTCTCAGAGTCTCTGCCTAACTGTTCATGCATTTGTATCTGCTTATAAACTCTTCTGGCTGTCTTCTCGTCAGTATATAAATATGTAGCTTCTTGTGAACAAAGTCTTATTAGATTGAAGAAGCCTCTTAAGAATGGTTGAGGTATGAGAACTAGTACAAAAAAAGCTGCAGACAGGTTGAAATCCTTAAAGTAGTAAGAAGCCCAAATTATTTTTTTCACTAAAATCAGTACTTCATTCTAGGGGCCAGATAACACTTTCATCTGTAAAGGTGAGAAGGGCTGTTCCTGTTGCATGTGCCTTTCATAAACCCTTAGCAAGCACACTGTCTGTGTCTCACTATCCCACTGTCTCTGGATGCTCCCAGGTGGGGTGCTGCATGGGCACTGCAGTAGCTGCTCAATGCATCTGGTGATGGTGGTGAGAGCTCAGGGGTGTCAGTGATGGGACCAAAGGAGAAGAGAGATTAAAAACATGGGTTTTGTGTTAGGAGGAAACAAGGAGTTTTTCTCAGCCATTATTAGGCCCAAACTTTTTACTTCCTGCCTGTGTATGCCTGGAACTCACTGCTTGTGCCTGGACTGGAGCAAAAGCTCTCCTGATGCATCTAGGCCTGCAGCTTCTGCCCTCCTGGTGGGAAGATGCAGCCCATGATCTCATGCAGCTCCTGCACTTCTCATCAAATGTCTCAGGGTTTCATCACAGCCCCAAAGAGCTAGAAGAGCATTTCTTCATTTCGCAGAAGTCAGATCAGTCCTTTTTGAAAAGGAGCTTTCATCATAGATTAGTAACTGTGAGACTACAGCTTTGGATTGTGATTTTTTTATCTTCCTACTTAGTACAGGTTAGAGTTACAGTTTCTCGTGAAGATGGGAAACCTCAACTTTTCAACAGGTTTCCTTTAAAAGAAGGACTTACAATTTGAGGTGCCGAACCAACTGATTTTGTAATTTCCTGCTAGTCACACGCAAAACCCATTGTCCATGTAAACCTCAGGTGCTTTGCTATCACTGATCAAAACATACAGGGGCCAGGGAGCAGAGAAATGATCTCTGAGGACCATCTCCTCCTCCCTCCATGACGACCTGGAGATCTCCCTGTGCATGGCCAGCATTCAGCTGCATGTTTCTATTTCAGGCCTTGGCTGTTGGAGCTGGCTGGAGCAGTTGATCAGCTTACCTACTGTCTTGCCAGGATCAGGGCTTGAGTGAGGGCAAGCTGGCTGTGACCCAACCCAGATAAGTCAAAGGTTGTGCTAACAGGTTGGGGAAGAGAAGAAGCTGGGAGAACTTCTGCTCTCTATGACAATAGCTTGCTTTTTATTGTTCAGCTTTCCAGACCCAGAGACCTTTGTATACTGGCTTCTGACCATCAATTAATAATAAGAAGAATGAAAGATGGTCTGTTTGCTTTTTGTTGGGCTGCTTTTCTGGACCAGAAGGTGGAGCCCATTCTTTTGAACATGGGTCTTTCCTATACCAAGTCATCTAGAGAGTGGACTTCAAAAACTGTCCCTTAATCAGGAGCAATGCAAGCTTTCCTCTGCCCAGGCCAAAGCAGGAGTTTGATGTGCAGCTTCCCCTGCCCACAGTGGTGGCAGTAAACAGAACTGCACAGTAAACAGAAATAAGATGCAAAAGCATTTGCATCCCGTGCAGTGGATGCTGGAAATGTGGGTATCCACAGGACAGGTTCTTCATCCTGAGGCTGGTTGGCAGAGCCTAGGCATCCCAGATAATGCTTATTTGTCATCCTTGGAAGAATAAGTTCCTCCTTTATGTAGCTTTTCTGCTGTTCACAGGTACAAAGGGATAGCCCTTTTAGCAGGGCCTGTTGTGATGAAACAAGGCATAACGGCTTTAAACTAAAAAAGTGTTGATTTATACTACAATTTTTATTACAAAAAAGGCAGTGAAACACTGACAGGTTTCCCAGAGAGGTAGTGAATGCCCTGTCCCCAAGAACATTCAAGGTCAGGTTGGACAGGGCTCTGAGCAAACTGATCTAGCTGGAGATGTCCCTACTCAGGACAAGGAGGTTGGATGAGATAACCTTTAAAAGTCTTCTCCAACACAAACTATTCCATGATTCAATGATCCTATGACTTAATGTCTCTGTATTGTGACCTTTCCTCATTCAGATGAGTGCAAGCAAATCAGCATTTTGCTTGACCTAACAAACAAGAGCCTAGATGCAAATGCTAGAAACAAATATGGAATTTTTCACAGAACAAAACTGCCTGGGTGGCAGTCAGCCTCGTCATGGTGGTTCATTTCAACATGACCTCTAAAGCTGAAAAGAGTTGCCTTGGATAGTGTTTTAGAATAATATGCACTGTGGCCCAGTAAAGATGAACTTTGCCTAAGTCTGACACTTGCAAATATAAGGCTGAACAACCAGGCAGGATTTTTTACTACAAGACTGGTATTGCTTACACTTCCCAGAGGTGAGGTGTCTCTTCTTTCATGAAGGCTGGGGGGGAGAGAACTTAATTGCATTTTCTTAAAATCCTCTCAGAATGGTGATAGAAGGGACCTTCGCTTCTGTGTCCTCATAAAACATACAATGGCCAAATTTTAAAGGAAAATAAGCATTTTTGAATATCAATTCTCTTCTGGCAGAGCTAACTGTGTGCTGTGAAGACTCTCTTAGGCTCCCCTGCATGTTGGAGCACTGGATTTTATTTTTTGGGCCTGAGTTGTATTTTAAGATTAGCTTGGAAGGTATAACCAAGGTTTTTAGCCAGGTATATGACTGCATTTTATGTGCAATTTAAAATGGAAGTCAGTAGAGCTATATCTACCGACTGAACAAAAAGACAACAGAAATCTTCAGGCAGAATTCTCTTCTTACATCTACCTATGCTGCACACAGTGAAGGCAAAGAGCAGCATCTTCTGTGCTGCTTGCAGGGAGAATATAACTTGAAAACAGATGCCCAAAGCACATATCTTAGATGAATATATTTAGCCTAGAAGTGTTTCAGACTGAGAAGTGATAATGCAAAATACATTTTCCTTGCCATTATTATTTTACTAAATAAGGAGGAATATTTTATCCTACCTACTATCATAGATTATCTGGTTAAAGTGGGGATGAAGGCACAGCTTTGAGTGTGCATTCATAGGAAGTACTGTGACATGTTGTGTACTCAAACTTTAAGATCTTAATTTCTGGTTTGATGGTTAATAAATCAAGCAGAGCTTTCAGTGTTAACACTTTTTGGGGAAAGGAACCGCTAAACTCCAGGAGTTTAAAACTTCTTCAGTTAGTTATCTGGTAGAATTTTCAGTGAAAATTATCAGGTGTTAATTTTCAGTGAAAATGATACATAAAACTTCAGAGGGTTGATTGATTCATTTGAAGGAAGTAGGCAAATGTGGGAAAAATTGAAATACAAGAAAGATCTCTGGAGATTTTAGAAGACCCATCCTAAGGAGGGAAGGGAGAGGCCCCCAAGGCTCATACCAGTAGAAACACTCATGCAGAGTGTTGCCATCAGTGCTGCCAGGACATTGGTGTGTGCCCACCAGCTCCTTACATAGCTTCCCATGTACCACACTATTGCTGCCTGCTGTTACCACCATGCCAAATGAAGGGTTTTTATTAAGAACACACTTCTAGGTGTTGCTACACCACAAATTTCCATAGTATGTAGATCATTGCTAATGCAGGAACATATTTCAGGCACCATCAAAATTAATCAATATCCTTCAATATGGGATACAACTGGCCTAGTTTGAGAAGTCAAACGTAGGCAGCCTTGAGCAGCCTATCCCTATCCTTCTCCAAAAGCACAAGCTGAGTCCTAAATTCATCTGATGAAAATGACAAAGCGCAGAGGATACAAGAACAGAGTAAATCACAGAATCATGGAATGGCTGGGGAGGAAGGGACCTTCGGAGATTATAGAGTCCAACTCCCCTGCTAAAGCAGGTTGACCCAGAGCAGTTTGCACAGGGTTGCATCCAGGAGGGTTTTGAATATCAGAGAAAGAGACTCCATAACCTCTCAGGGCAGCATAGCATATATTCAGAACAGATCACGTATTTTCTAGTTACTTGGTTGCTCCATTACAGAATAAAATTAATGGACCCAATACACAAATGCCATGGAGCAGGCAGTGCTATGGCAAATCAGAATTGTAGGATTGGGCACAGAATAAGCACCACTGAACACTTAAAAACTAAGCAAGTGAACATCCTTTCCTCTCATAACAGAGAATAGGGTGAGGCTTGGCCTGATAAAATGGGCTGGCTTGGTTTGGCTGGCTCTTTATCTAAATATATTATTATGCCCAAATGAGCTGGCAATTATATTTTCGTCACCCATTACATGCGTTGCTCAGAAGCTGCTCCCTTCAGTCACTGGGTACCATCCCAGAGGATACTTCACCAGACCCAGCTCAGGAACTTCTGCTGCTTAACATCCCTTCTCCAAAGCCACGAGCTCACCTCTTTTGCAAAACCAGGCCACTTTCACACCAGGAGGACTGGAGCTGTATTTCCTTTCCCTTTGCCAGGGCTCTGGGAGTCTCCATCTCCCTGTGTCTGATGAGTCAAACTTGCTCCCCAGTTCCACTGAGAAAAATTATTATGCTGCATGGGGAAATCCTGCCTCCCTGGACGTCCCTGCTCAGGCCCTGTTTCTGCCACAGGCAGATGTCCCTGCCCAGGGGTGGCACTTCCCTTGCTCCATCCCCTCAGCTGGTTCCCAGTCCTGGCTCACTGCAGCTGCCACCTGAAGCCTGTGGCATAGCATCTGCTCTATGTGGAGTATCAGGGAAGGAAAGGGTTTGCTTCATGCCAGAAAGTCACTTGTTTTTGCAGGCATTTCAGGCATGGCATGCAGGTGGGGTTTACAGTGGTTTACCTGTGCCAAAAGTTAGTTGAAGAGTTTGTGTTTGGACATATCTATATCTGCACAGAAGACATCATGATGAAATAGCAGGATGAGGGACTGTGGACAAACCACCACAGGAGCCATGAGCCATAAGCAAGTGGCTGACAGCTTTACATATTACAATATATGACTTACTGACAGGTAAAACTTCCTTCCCAAGGACACTTATTTTCTAGGATAACCTCCTGTCCTCCATGAGGATTCTGCAAACACTTCCTGAGTGGGGAAGCAGACAGCAGGAAGACAACGATGACACAATATAATGAAAACAATTTAGGGATTGCTTAGCACAGAGTGAAGGACACAAGAACTCAGCAAGTTTGAAACACTACTGTAATAACAAGGAACACAAGTCAGAGGAGTCTTTTCCTTGTGGTATCACTGCAAAAAAGCTTCTCATCTCTCAGATGGCTCTGTTAGAGTCAGTTTTGCACTGGGAATAGCCACTGGCAGGATGAGAGCCTACACTTTGCTCCTTAATCTTATTGGCACATTTAGCTGGCCAGGGTTTAATTAATACTACATCTATTTGTAGCTGCAATCATGAAGGATGTGAAAGTTCTAAGAACGACTAACAAAGTCTAGATCCATGAGATTTTTCTCTCATTTTTTGCTGTCCAAAATTTCTTTTGAAGCCTTCAAATATCTCTGACCTCTTTGGGCTTAAATTTAGAGGTAGGATGGCTCAAAAAATGCATTGGGAAATAATACTTAGTAATGGACAAACCTGAATCATCTGCCCTCTCAGCTCCTTTGGGATGTGGGTTAGCCAGCAGAGCCGGAAGTTGTGCAATTCCTGGATTGCCTGGCTTCAACACTGCCCAAGTCTAGCATGCAGGGAGGTGGCTGTTTGTGCCTGTGCAACGGGGGCAAGTGTCCATTCTGAATCAAATTTAAAAACTCTTTCTCAGTACTCCTAGGACACACATGGTGATGACTGTGCCTGATGGCTTCAGCTTGGGAAGTGGGTGGGATAAGCCCAGGAAGCAACTGACCCACAAGAGGCCTTACACCATGTGTGGTGTAACACAACCCCTCTCTTCCCACCTGCTCCCCTGACTGTGCAGCTGCACAGCTGATGTAGCAGGTGTTTTTTCAGTAATAAAGCATATACAAATAGCCTGTTGAAGGTGGATGAGACTGATGGGGGCCCAAGTACACTAGTCCTATGCACAGAAAAAAACTGAAGCTGGGTCTACCAAGCAGCAGAGGTTACAGTGTGAATAATTCATTTAAGTACAGTGCAACTCTACCATGACATGGATTTCAAGCCAAAAGTAAGTAATGTTTTGAAGGGTCTTAATGACGGGGAAACTTGGGTTCTCTCTGTAAGTCACAAGGGGCTGCCTCCTTCAGGGGGCAGGGTTGTACACGTTTCCAAAAAAAGAAAATTGTTGCTTTTTGGAAATGTCACACGTTACTTTTGTCTTTTCAAGCATACTGAGATATAGCCAGAGAAAGTACTAGCTAGGAGGAAAATTATGACTCTGTTGAATAACTGTCTGGCCAATAGGATGTCCATAAACAGTTATTCAGATATCCCCTGTCCACACCAATCACCAACTAATTGCAATATGACTATAAGATCGCCAGGACTGTATTGACATGTGAGGAGATGATTATGAACACAAAGCTTCCTCAGAAGGAAGGACTGTCCCACTTTTCACAATGATGTTGGAGAACAGAAATCTCTCCAGAGCTCTAATGGGCTGCAGGGGTGAGCTGACAATAAGCACTCTTTAATTAAGCTCTTTGAGAAAGTCAGGCTCCCACTGGGCTTGTTGTGAGAGCAGCAAAGCTCCTGATTTATAGCAATTCAATGCCCAAGCTTCCTAATACTGATGTAGGACACCAAATCACCAAGACCTCTTGAGTGTAATTAAAGGCAGGATGTGCTCCTAGCTGGCATATCCTAGCTCTGGATAGGAATGCAGTCAGAGGTATTCCTGAAGTTTGTCCTGCAGTTTATATGGTCTATGCTCTACAACAGGTTGCGTTGGTGATGGCAAAAGCTCATTCAATTAGAAAGGGGAAAAAATAGTGATGGGGTGATAGTTCAGGATCTTCCAAGTTCTGACCACAAACTTGCTGCAAAGTTTTGAAAAGTCCAAAGTTTCTCTTTTCATCTTTTAAATTAAGTGGAAAAAAATAATTACCCTCAATGGCATGCAGGGGTTAATTAATTATGGCTTGATTTTCAGAAATGCTAAGGAAATTTCAACACATTCTTGGCACTCTTTATCTTTGAAAAATAAGGCCAAAGAGTGTTACATTTCTTGTAGTATTTCTTTATAAAGAGACTATTGCTCTTATAAGCTAAACCTATCTTGGCCATCTCATCAGGGCTCGAGGCATTGATGCAGCACATACAATGTCTGCAGTAACACCTCTCTAGTGCTTGAGCACAGACAGAGCATTAGATACACTTGTGTGCCTCATGACTGCTGGCCACTCTACGTTGTCCTTATTTGGAGGTACCCGAGGAGGTACTGCCAGTGTCCCTGGCTGGAGCACATTTGAGCTGGTCACTAGCACATTAAAAAGTCTGTCTACACTTGGAACTGCCCTGCATGGGAGGATCTGAACTCTGATGAGTCACAATGATCTGTGCAAATTGAATTGATTTGAGAACTCCAGCTTCCAGATGCTCTTATAATGCCTTTATAAGGCTAAATAGGAGGACTCCCTACTCAGAAATGTTCCTTGTAGGCAATATTAGCACTTGCCAGACTGCAGTCAAAACAGGTCTAAGCCTTTTCTTTAGCAAGAGCAGCTGGTGGAAGTTGTGGACACTTTATCAACTTATTATATTTTCCAATCCTTTTGTCATTCTTGTTCCTCTGCAGACTTTCGTCATCCTTCTCAAATTAAAGGAAGGCTTGTATGAACAGAAGTAATATCACTTAATATCCCTGACTGTAGTCCTTCTAACAAATTGTGGTGGGTTTAGTGCTGGCCAAATCTCTGGTGCACTTACTAGAATGATTTACTCATTTCTTGCTGTGAGATAGGATTAGGAGGAAGGCAAAATAGGCTTAAACTTTTAAGGGTATAACGAAGAACTTCATTAACAGAAACTAAAAGGAAAAAAATAAGAATTAGAATAAAACTTTCAGAACACTTCTCCTCCATCAAGATCTCTCTTCTTTTACACTGACAAGATGCAGAAACAGTCAGTTTACCATCTCTAAAATAATCTTCTCCAATTTACTTAGGGAGAGGATTATCTCTCTTCAGTCTATGGAGACGTCTCCACAAGAAACAATTCTCTTGGGGCCTCAATGCCACAGAGATCAGCTGCCTGGGAGAATAGAAATATGATCACTATGTAAAAGTCCCTTCCTCACGTAACAGTTTTCTCAAAACTGTTATTGAGGACCATGTCAACTTATGTGGCACATACGTTTAAAATTAGCAATTTAAGCAAGGGCTCTCTTCATCTTTTGAAAACAGACATATGTTTTCTTCTCTGGGGGGCAACAGGCATCTTCATCTCGCCTCTCTGTTCAAATTTCTGAGGGGATCACAGCTGCTTTAACATCTGCTTACTTTAACACAAATGCCTTTGCTCATGGCCTCAATGTGAATGCTTCATCCACCTCAAAATGCATTTCTATGAGTTACAGGGAAACAAGAGTATCTGATTTATCTTCTCCACAGCTTAAAAGAGAAATTTCAGTCCACGACTCTTCTCCTTCCCTCATGTGGGACCTGACTCCTCCTTCTTGTCTGACTTCTGTGTCTCTATGCTGTTTTCTGTGTGAGTCCCCATCTCTGTCTTTTTCTTTCACTCAAGAGAGAACAAAGTCTCTGCAAGTCTCATCTGGGCAATGAAAGAGTTAATATCTTGTCTGGGCCTGCTGATGGTGATTCCTGCCAGGTTGCTTCCAGGAGCTGTTTATGATGGAGAAATCTTCAGCAGCCATGCTGGGGGAGACTAGGATCTTAGCAGAGGCCCAGCCAGAAACAGTGGTGTGTTGCTCTGGCTGCATTCCATTCCACAGGGAGCCCAGCCTAGCCCCCCTCCCCAAGGCTGCACAGTCAGTGACAGAAAAGATGGAGGGCACACCCAGCCACCCAGAGCTGCTCCTGGGGAATGTTAGCAGTGGCAGCATTCCTACCAAGCCACCTCGGGCCAGTCTGGCCATGCTGCGGGGAGGGAGAAGCAGCCAGGATCTCAGCAGCCAAAGGGCCTCCCCTCCCGGCCTGGCCTGGGCCCAGCCAGGCCCAGCCTGGGCTGCGTGGAGGGGCCGAGGCCGGTGTTACCTGGTTCAGACCAGAAAGGAAAGAGATCTCTCCTGGGCTTTGTTCATTTAAAAATGCTTATTCACAGAGGCATGTTCAGCCTTCTCAGTGGTTTAATAGGTTATCAATTCTAAAAATTAATCCCTAATTTGTTTTTGTCAGACATAGAGGAAACTTTCAGCAGCTTTGTTTAAAAAAAATTATTTCCATGGGCATCTCCTTCCCACCTCATTAAATGTCATATGTGCAAAACCAGAACACTAATGCACTGTGACTATTTACCTGTGACTCTTAAAGTCTCGCCCACAGTCACTACTTTCAATTCTGTGAGCCTGCCTTCCCATCTGTGTCTTTTGATGAATGATTCTCTATCAGCCCACACCCACGTGCTTGCCATAGGCAGCTATTCCCTATGTATTACCTTACAGGGCTAAATAAAAACAGGAAAAAAAACCTGCAAAATTTGAATCACCATTATACTTGCTTTCTCATCAGAAAAAAATTGTCAACGTTGAAAAAAAAATTAATTCATTTTTCTGCTTTGCTGCTAAAATACCATAGGAAAGAAACGGCCAACAAGAAAATCGAAGTACAATTACAACCCTCAAGGTGACAACAGTTCTGCGGCCAGTGGGACTCTTGTGGGTAAAGTTACTCCCTGTGTGGAGGTCAACCTGAGGCCTTTGTCACAAAAATTCTTCAAAAATAGGTTCTCAGCAGCAGCTAGGTTGCTTTTTTACTCAGGACTGAATTTCAGTCTCTGTGCATATCAGATGAGTAAGATTTGGTTCAATGAAAGAGTCTGAAGGGAAATTTTTTTTCAAGTTCTGTGATGTGCTAAAACAC